GTGAGATCCAACAGAGCCATCAAGAAGCCAAAGTTGAACAGGAGGAATGGATTTGGTAGGGAGATTGTGATTCTCAACATACTTTGAATCAACAAAGCAGTGGCTGGAGCCAGAATCAACAAGAGCAAGAAAACAAAGAATAGTAGAAATGGGTGAACCATTGGGCTCCAATCCAGAGCCAACTTCAGAGGAGAGAGAGACAATTAGAGAATGATTAGAAAGAGCAGCAGTATTGAGGGTTATGATCTCCAATGCACAATGACAGTTAATGCAACCCTGTCCTAATGCAGAGGATACAGGGTTGCTCTCTAGTTTTCTGATTCCGAAGAAACCAGTTCAGTAGAGGCAGTGGACTCGGGAGTGGAAGAAATGGCAGCAGCATGGCCACGAGTGGAGGCTGTAGCCTTGTGCTTGTTGCAATCTTCAGTTTTGTGTTTACCTCCACAGAACATGCAGAGGTTATTCTTCCAACGGTGGTCCTTTTCTTCTTGAGTAAGACAGCCATCCTTGCCTAGCTTGTCAGCATAGGACTTGGGGTTGGAAGGTGAAGAAGAGTTGTTGGAGGAAGATGATGATGATCCTGCAGAGCCTAAATTAGAGGACTTTTGGCCTGCAGAGTTGGAGTTGAAAGACAAAGAGTTAGAACCTTTCGACTTGTTGCCATTGTTAGAGGAGGAGGGATTACTGTGATTTTCTCAGAAGATTTTAGTCCTCTGAGTCTAGTAGCAAATGTCAAGCTCCTGAGTGAGATTCTGCATATTACAGAGGTTATCAAGTTTCCCATGGTGAGTCATATCATCCTTGATGCAGGACCAAAGACCACAGTAGAAAGCATGATGAAGGGAGTTGTCACTGTAGCTGATAATGGCAGCATACTAATTGAATTTGATAATATACTTCATGATGTGGTCTCCATTGTGCATCCAAAGGTTTTCGAGTTTATCTTCAGCATCACCAACAATGTTGAAGAGGCTAAAGTTGGTTCAGAGTTCTGAAAGGAAGACAGTATAGGAGTATGCCCAGGCAGAGGGGTTGCAGTGATTAGGATGAAGAATATCTGGCTTAAACCAGTCGAGGGCGATATCAGAAAGGAAGGAGATAGCATAGTTGACCTTTGCTATATCTGATCAGAATGCATCAGGATAGTCGTTGAAGTTCAACTGGAGAGAAACAATGAAGGCTTTGAGTTTTTGGGAGTCTGAGCCATCAAAGGTGTCTGGTTCCTTGACCTTGGTGCATACAGTATGCTGGCAGTTGCCATTGACAGCATCAGAGATGCCATGAAGGATGTTCATGAGTTAAATGAGGATCTGAGTGTTGTTATTAGGGGGGTTAGGATTGTTACCAGGATTGTTGTTAGGACCACCTCCAGGACTACTGGGTCCACTGGATCCACTAGGGCCATCAGGATTGGGTGGGCCACCACCAGGATTTCTTGATGGGTATTCTCAGCCATTCATTGTGGTATGAGGAGTGAAGTCCCCATCTTCCAATTCTTGGTCATCTTCCTCATCCTGACCTGAGATGTTGTCAAACAAGGACTAGGCAGATTCCATGGAGGATTGGTTTGGTACTTGCCTCAGCCATTGGATTCTGATTGCTGGACTAAAAAGGGGTTAGGGGATCTGTTAACATCAGATTGGCAAGCAGTGAAACCACTGTGCAGGTAGGTTTCCCTATGGGAGCATTGGGAGGGAGCAGAATCTGATCTAAAGGAAAGCAGACCCTCTTTTGATGCAGAAGCAAGAATATCTTTCATGGTGTAGATTCAGTTGTTGGCCATGGAGTTGCGGTTGGCTTCTGAGAGAAGGGTGAAAGTAGAAGACATGATTTTGGAAGAAATTTTGACTCAAGGGTTTGAGTTCAAATATACTGTTAGAATCATGCCAATAGGAATGTGGCAGAGAGTGCATGTAGCAGAGAGCCATGGAATGTGTCAGGCATAGGCAAAGCTATTAGCAATGTCACCCCTGAGCCAAAGCCCTAAGATAAATATGGACAAAAGTCTGTGGAGTGACAGAGATGAGGTAAGAGGTAAGTCCAATGGATCAGAGTTTCATGGTCTGGAGAACTAGAGTTTTGACTTAAGAGTCAGAGAGAGAGAGAGAGAGAGTTGGGCTGAACCAAGTTGATATTTGAACTGAGTATCTACAGTGTAATTCTAAGGCTTATATACTAGTTAGGAGTCCAATCTAGTTTCTACTTGGGTTAGTCTACATTCTAGAGTTGTCAGAGATTGTATTCTACCAGTCAGTGACCAATAGAGTCTGATGACATATTTGCTACCGATGTCAGACTACTGATAAATTATAATGGAAAGATGAGATATAAAATAGAATATGAAATGGAATATGAAATGGAAACTGGGAATTGGAATCCATAGGATTCCAGGATGCGATTTGTTGGAGTTGATGTGGAATCGGAGTTCCATTGGTATGCTCATTACACAGACCAGGAGCAAAGTCTTGAGCACTTGTAGTGCTGGATTCTGCTGGGATTTTAGTATTATAGATATCTGGGAACAGCTCACCAGATAACTTGGATAAAGGACTCTCCATCCTTGGCAAGGCTGACCCTGTTGCAACAGTGTTGCTGCAGCTGTGCAAGGCATATCGAGACATCCTAGTAGATATACAGAAAGGTACAGTGTTGAAATCAGAGTGGCCTCAGGTTATCAAGTCTAGGTTTTCCAGAGATTGATGAAGAGAGAGAGAAAAGTGCAGATGTAGTTGAGAGATAGAGATAGAGATAAGCAGAAAAACAGCCAATGGAGCTGTCAAAAATATGAGAGAGTGATGAAAGTCACATACTCTCATGAAGGAGCTTCATGCAACATGAGACAGATGTAAAGGCTGATTATTGCGAGAAACCCAAGCTACTACAGTAGTATGTAGCTCTTATATACTACTAACAATATCAAATAGATGCTATAGGCTGTGTCAAGAATGGTGGAGCATATGGCATGACAATGAGGGAGAGCTTCAAAATGCTCTGAGTCACTCCAAGGCAGAATAGCAACTTCAAGACACTTCAATTCAATCAATACTATAGATGACTAAGTGACTAGTAAACACTTCATTGAGGTTAAGTACAAAAGCCTTTAATTGGGGCACTAGAATACTGACTAGTAGGTCACAATCACAGGGATGGCTTGCCTAGCTTGCTAGGCCACACTTCTACTACTGATATACTACAAAAAAAGGTACAGGATAAATACAAATAGATTTCTAGGAGTAATATTGGTAAGAATATCTTGGCTAGTCATCAATAATGATGAATAGTCATGCAATAGTCAGCCTAGTCTGGTCTTTCTGTCAGATAGCAGGTCTAGGGACTCTGCTATTGTCATGAATTCACCCCTTATTTTTCGCCTTATCTTGTCTTATCTTATCTCATCAACTCATCATTCAACTCTCATCATCATTTCTCATACCTGATCTGCACCATTCATGACCTGATTGATCACACCCATGATCCATTTGATGGCCCATAGATCTGATCACATGACTATGGGCCCCACCCTCCTTTACCCAGTCATGCTTCTTTAGGTCGACTCTGATCACATCCTAGGATGGATAGGGTGCCACATACGCTCCTCAGAAGATAGTGCCATATGGGCGCTAGTCTTCTTACTCACAGAAGGACTTCTCTTATACCAAACGAAAGACAGCGATGCATTGGGATAGTACCATCAGAACAGTATACACTAGTAAATACCATAATGTATTTAAGCAAGCCTCGCTGTGGTCTTACACCCCAGCTTCGGCTAAAGTTATACACTCCTAACTTTTCATGCAAAAACTCCCTGTTTCATGCCTAAGAACTATCGTTCCTGACCTAGCGATTGCAATGCCCTTCATCACACTGAATCACCGAATGCAAGTGACAGTTTGGAGGCAAACATTGTCCAATCCAAGTTAGTGTGTTACACCGCTGCTGCCACCCTTGATTCACCTCAAAAGCTCAGCGAGCATCTCCCTTCCATGCCTTACCCACTCTTGATGACCTGCCTGTGCAGCTCTGAGGCCCACCAACCATGCTTGACATATTGTACAGCAAGTTGGTTTTGAACACAGAGACTGATGTTTCTCTCACCACTGTACTGTATAGGGAACATGCCTCTCTGGAAAAGGCACAGACAGTATGGATCTCTGGTGCCTGTGTACAGGAGGGCTCCCCTGCAGTGCAAGCAGGTGCTGGGGTTTTCTGAGGCTTTGCCTCACTGAGGAATAGGGCTCTTTGCATTCCTGGGGAACAGTGCCATCAAAGAGTATCTCACTTTGCTGTAGCAATTGCGCTACTACATTCTCTGTCTGATTTCAATCTGATCATTATCATAGACCACACAGATATCATTTGAACCTATTGTTTTTGGACCCTCTCCCTCATGGAGGATGAATGGGTCACTCCTGACTCTGATGTCATTTCTTATTCTGTTCAGCTGATCCAGTGGTGCTGGGGTCACATTGAGTTCTGATGAGCAAAGTTCAAGTTGGACTATCTTATGAATCCACAGATCATCTGATCTTGTGCCCTGGCAGAAGAGGCCTGCTCCTCCCATCTTCTATTCTCTCTGCCTACTGTGCCTCCACTATGTCCTGTACAACAACTTTGTTGATGCTTGCTGTCACAGTGAACCCTTATTCTGGTCCACAATTCATGACTTGACAGATCCTAAGCCAACAAAGCCTGATGTGTTCCTCCAGGACCTTGCTGCTGAGTTCAAAAAACATGCACACATTCCTAATGTTCTCCCACCAGAATTGGATGCAGTTGCCCTTGAACTGGCTGCCTTGGAATGTAGCACCATCCCTCCTGTCACTGTTGACTGGACTCCCAAGCATTCTTTCTCCTGACATGTCCCTTCTACAGTTCTTCAACATGTGTCTTGATTTATGCTCTGCTCCATGCCTCTGGATGATTGATATCCTTATCAGAATCTTGAAACCAGGAAAGGATTCCACTGATCCCAAATCCTATTGGCTGATTGGCCTGGAATCCTGTCAGTGGAATCCTTCTTACGGAAGGTTTTCACACTGCTTTGGGATGAACATTTCTGTGAATGGATGAAGGATGAGAGCATCCTCTCCAATTCACAAAATGGATTCCAACATGGATTCCAAAGTCTGAACAACCCTTTCATACTGCGATATGCCATAGAAACTGCTTTGGATGCCAGAAAACCCTTGTACATTGTCCTTCCTGACCTTACCAATGCTTTCCCTTCCACCAATCACTCTTCTTTATGAGTCATGATGTATAAACACAGTGTGGCTGGTCCTCTTTTTGACTGGCTCTGTGCCATGTACTCTGAGATGAAGTACTGTGTAAAGATGGGTAATACACTCTCCACCCCATTTGGATCTGACATCAGCATTCTCACTGGTGATGGGACATCCCCAAGCATCTGGGACTTCTTTGGGTCTGACTTCCACCCTCAGCCCCATCCAGATGATGTTTATTTTTGAGATCACCAGATCCTGAATGTAGAGCATGCTGATGATGGCACATTGTGATCTACTTCCCCTGCAGGCATACAGATGCACTGCAATGACTATGGTCCTTGGGCAAGCAAGAAGGGCTTGCTCATTAATTTTGGAAAAACCAAGGTATCTGTACTAGGACCTCTCTTTCTCACACAAGCTGTCTGTTACAGGCCTTGATTTTTGAAAAGCATCCCTGGATCATCCCTACCATCACCTTGCAGGGCTGTCCCCTTGACTAGACAGATGACATGCACTTCCTAGGCATAGTGTTCTGCTCTACCACAATGGACATCTTTCATTCATACTCAATCCAAGTCACAAAGAAAGCTCTCCGTGTCTGCAATGTTACCTTTGCCATGGAATAATACCTCAGTGATATCTATCCACATACTGGCATATTTATTTATAGTGCTCATGTTGACTCCATCCTCACCTATAGTGCCCAGGTCATAGTTATAACGCATCAACTGAAAACTATACAAGGCATGAGTCCAATATGTCACTCACATTTGGTAATTCACAGGGTAGACAGTGTTGTAAATTTTTGTGGATGGTGATGGACAAGTTAGTTGCAAATCAGGGAGTTCAGTAAGAGTTGGGAGTGTATAACTTTAGCCAAAGCTAGGGCTTAAGGCCACAGCATAGGCTAGCTTAAATACATGTTTGCTCTGTCTAATAATAAGCCTTGGCCATGGTTCTCACATAGAGAAGTGCAGCCTTTAATGAATGAGCATAAAGAGTGCATGTCACTCACATGGAAGTGGGACTCTATCTGAATAGTCCTTATCCTGTAGACCACCCTTGACTAGTGGTCTGTATTGTCAAACCACTAAGAAGCATGATGGTGCATGAGGTACATCGGTTATCCAGGATGTGACAGAGGTCAACGAGTCATCAGCAGGATGATGGCAACTGGGTAAACGGGTAGGGAGTGTGCTGAGGGAATATCATAGGTCTGAAAAATAAGATAGGTAGGTCTGGGGTTCCAGTAGATAAGGATAAGATAAGATAGAGAAAATAAGGGTAAAATTATAATAATACCCCCCAACTAAGATGGTTGTCCTGACAGTTATTAGACATACTCACTCCCTGAATCGAGGGAGTTAGTAGATTCTGTATCCAATCCATAATCCTCAGACTCTGAAGTGAAGCCATATTCAGACATTTCCTGGTCATCTAGAGGTGTGGTGTATTGAGGTTCTAGAGCAAATAAATCTTTGCCGCCATCTGAGACTGGAAAGACTGTTGAGCTCTTGGTTAAAGAGCCAGGAGATGATACGGTTATACATCCCCTTGTCTGGTTCTTCAAGTGTTGCAAATCATGAGCTGTTATGTGGTCTTCCTTGTTCTCATAGTGATTGATGAGTTTTTCAGCATTGGCAAGGTTACTCCTCTTGACCCAGGTGGCTTTCTCAACTGGATATCCCTTCTATTTGACCAAATATTCTGTTATGGTCCTCCGGTTGTGTCCTCAACTGATAACACAGTCATGATCCTGAAGTAGCTCCTCTACTTCATATTCTTCTTCACTGTTCATGAGCTCTGGCTTGGATAGCAGTGGTTTCTCCTGGTTTGGAAACTCTGGAGGGACATACAGAGTTAAGTATTGTTCATTGAACTTGTTGTGGATTCTCCAACCAGGCAGTAGCCTCAGCTTGTAGGTGGAGGATCCCTTCTTGGAGATTATCTTGAAGGGTCTGACATGTTTGTCATCTAGCTTTTTTGCTGGTTGCGGGAGGTGATGGTTGGTTGAGTCCAACCAGACTTTGTTGTCCAGTTGGTACTCCTGCACAGGATGAGTGTGTTTGTCATAAGCCTTTCTCATAACCTCAGTGGCCTTGTGCAGAGACTCTTCTGCTATCTTGCAGACCCTCTGAAGGCTTGTGATGAAGTCAGTTACCGATGGTGTTTCCGACAGCCTCACTGTGGTTGGGCGAATTTCTCCATCTTGTCCAAAGATGACTTTGATGGGGGAAAAGCCTATTGCAGAGTGTTGGCAGTTATTGTGAGTGAATGCTGCCCACTGCAACCATTTGCTCCAGTCATCCTGCTTGTGGTTAACAAAGACTCGAAGATACTTCTTGAGCTCTTGGTTAACCCACTCTGTTTGTCCATCTGTCTGCAGATGATAGGCTGTGGATGGATTCCCCTGGATGTTCATCATTGCATATAACTCAGTGATGAATTTTGAGATGAACTGGGCCCCCCAGTCAGAGATGACTTTGGAGAGGGTAACCCTAAATCAGCAGATGATTTTGTCATGTAGGATTTTGGCCCACCTGCTCAACAAAAGTTCCTTTGTGCATGGAATCAGCATAATGTATTTCGAGAATCGGTCTATGATGACTAATACTGTGTTGTAGCCCTTGGATTCTGGAAATCTAGTGATCATGTCAACCAAAATGTATTCTCAGGGTTGAGATGGTACAGCATTGGGATGTAGCAGAGCTGCCTTCTGCTGCATGTTGGTCTTTGTCCTTTGACATGCCTCACATCCTTGTACATAGGTTTCCATGTCCCTTTGCAGCCTGGGCCACCAGTATTCTCTCAAGACCAACTCTTTGGTCTTTTCGATACCTGTGTGCCCTGCAGAGATGTGATCATGGCAGTGGGAGATGAGTTCTCCCTGTAATGCATGGTCACAGGGGATGTAGATATGTCCATCATAGAATAGTAGGTGGTCCCTTTCAGTGACCCCCTTCTCATAGTTGAGGCTGTTTGTGATCCCTCGGTCCCACCATTGGTGATTGCTTGTTGCCCTTCTGATCTTGCCATAGATTTCCTCCTCTGTTGGCATTATTAGGGCTTGGAAGAATTCTGGTTTCAAGAGGACAATGTCATCATTGTTCTTCTTGCCCTCGTCATGGTCAGCTTGCTGACTCAAGAGATCAGCCTTCCTATTGGATGCTTCTGGCTTGTGATTGAGTGTGAAGTGGTACTCCACTAGCTCAGTGACCCACCATGCTTGTCTGCAGTTGAGTTTCTGAGGTTTGCGGAATTATTGCAGGTTTGAGTGATCCATCTAGATTTCAAATCCTTGACAGGCACCCATGAGATAATGTCACTATTCTTCCAAGATGATCATTATTGTGAGCAGTTCCTTGTCATAAATCTCATAATTCCATTCCATTGCAGAAAGAGATTTTGACAAGAACGTGACTGGACATCATTTTCCTTCCTGTTCTTGCAATAGGATGGTGCCAATTGCTCCGTCGCTGGAGTCTGCCTCCACGTGAAACTTGTTGTGATCATTTGGCATCACCAGGATGACCATTATGGTGAATTGGCATTTGAGTTCCTCAAATGCCTTCCTTTGTTTCTTTCCCCAGGTCCAGAGGACCTTTCCCATGAGCTTTGTCATTAGTTTGATGATCATGCTGTAGTGCCAGATAAATCATCGATAGAAGTTGGTGAACCCTAGGAATGATTGTAGTTCCTGTTTTTTGGAGAGTTCTGGCCAGTCTATGATACCAGTGATCTTGATGGAGTCCATTTTAATGGAGCCTTTGCTGATGATGACTCTGAGGTATTCCATCTCAAGTACCTCAAATTTGCATTTTTCTGCCTTCAAGAACAATTTGTTCTTGCACAGAATCTTTAGGACTTCCTGCACAATTCTTTGGTGTTCCACCCTGTCCTTGGTGGAGATGAGAATGTTATCCAAATAAATGGTGACCAATCCTTGGGCAATGACATCTTCAAAGATGTCATTCATCATCCACTGGAATGTGGTGGGTGAATTGGTAAGTCCAAAGAACATAACCATGGGTTTATAGAGCCTCTGGTTAGTGCAGAATGCTATCTTGAATTTGTCCCCATCCTTGATCCAGATGTTATTGTATCCCCAACAGACATCTAGCTTGGTGAAATACTTCACATCTTTGAGCTTATCCATGAGTTCTGAGATAAGCAGCAAGGGATAGCAATTCTTGATAGTGATTTCATTAAGCTTGTGGTAGTCTTGTACTGGCCACAGTTTACCATCCTTTTTCTTTGACAAAGAAAAAGGGAGATGCCATTGGAGACTTGGAAGGTCAAATTCAACCTGTGGCCAAATTTTCATCAAGGCATTTGTCCAGTTCCTCTTGTTCTCTGGGATTCAAGAGATATACCTTGCAATCAAGACTAGTGTTGGCATTGGGGATGAGCTTAATAGCATTGTCCTAAGGTTTATGAGGGGGGAGTTCATCAAAGTTTTCCTTGGCAAAAACATTAATGAAGTCTCAGTAGTGTTCAGGGATGATTTCCTTGAACGACTTCGTTTCCTTTCCCTTGTTGGTGTTCGCCACCAATTCATTGGCTTTATGTCCTATTGCCTGCACATGAAAGGCTTCTTCAAAGTCTATGATGAGGATAGTATCCCTGTCTTCAACTTTGGTCCTCCACTATTGTTCAGGGTCTTTGTCTGGAAGTTGGAACAGTATCTTGCAGCAGTCACAGCATGCCAAGGTTACCAAACCCGTATTCCAGTTGATAAGTGAGTTATGTCTTTGCAGCCAGTCATGACCTAAGAAGATAGGTGTTATTCCCAAGTTAATGACAGCTAGCTTAATTCATTTGCTGTGGTCCCCAATCTTGAGTCGGACCTCAGTGAATTCAGTGATGTCACCACCCTTGTTGCGAGTACCATCTGCCTTATAGACTGGAGTGGGGTGAGCCACTTTGTGCATGGTAATACCATGATCACAGGTCTATTGCTGATCAATAGTGCTTCCTGTACAGCCACTGTTGATCAGGGTCTTCACAGAATGATAGGCCATGGTATCGAAGGTTTCCAATTGTAGAGTGATTGTGACATTCTGTCCTCTTGCTCCATGGACATACTATTATGACCTTATCCCTATTTTTCTTATCTTATTTTATCCTTATCTCTTGGAATCTTGAATCTACCTATCTTATCTCTCAGACCCATAATATTCTGCTGGCACATATCCTACCTGTTTACTCAGCTGCCATCATTCTGCCAATGACTCGCATGTCCA